GGATAGACTTCCCTAGGAAAGTCTCTGGCCCGGTGTTGGGCCTCATCATTTGTTCTGGTTGTCTTTGTCAGTTGTTTTCTTCATAATGGTTGTGTTCGCGGAGGTCTGTGGCACCATTAGGCGACATCTAGTAGTCCTGATGAGGAACGTCGATTTGAGTCGGTGGTGGAGACAATGCAGGCGGGGCTTACGGGAGGTGATGCGCCTATATCTATGCCACAATGTCTTGGTTCTGCTTCATCAGCTGCATTGTGGTATGACGATATGTCTTTAGCTCGTTGAGAGGGACTGGGTCCGCAACCGAAGGGTTGTTTTCAACGTTCACTGCCAGGATTTGGAGGTTTTCTAATAGGTTCTGTAAATTTAGTAGATTTGCATGAGACTTGCTCATATTTTCGACTAGAAACCATCAGACCTCAAAGTATATGAAAGAGACTTAGAGGAAATGATGAAAACCGTTTCTCACAGACGACGCCAAACTGATGGTGTTCAAAATCTTTCTACTCGATTGCAAAACATAATAGGACATGGCCCAGAGGGGTTTTATGTGTGCTTATAGATGAGAATGTGTGCAGTGTGTGGAAGATGACAAAAACAATAATGTAAGTGGTTCACCTCAGTAAAAAGACTAAGGCTACATCCATTGTGAATGAGACTCTTGCTCCGTTTGGGGTTATATTTCTTGAAGAAGAAGACAGTAGTTACAGAAGGATTTGGCTGGGAGCCTTTCTCCGAAAAAAAATGTTATATTTGATGTTCTCATTGTCGTTTTCTATTATATGTCTTATTTCTAGGGTTTCTGCAAAACTTTCTTCTCATGGCTCATTTTGTGGTCCCCTCGTCATTTGTCAAGTAGTTGATTTTGCCAACTGACGTTTTCTGTATCCACTACCCCTGGAACGAAATATGTGAGGTAACGCCACTGTCGATGAATATTCGTTCATTAGGGTTGTCATGTATNGTATCCACTACCCCTGGAACGAAATATGTGAGGTAACGCCACTGTCGATGAATATTCGTTCATTAGGGTTGTCATGTATTGTTCGTTGTCCATGTGGTGTGATTGGGGTTATCTTTAATCTGCTCATTGTCGAGCTTTGATCTCCCGAGTTGATGCTTATCCCTGAGCTTGATGGGACTAGGGTGCCATATGTCCCGAGCTAAATGATCTTGGGCTTTTCATGAGTTGAGTTGTGGACTAGCTCAAATATGGAAGATATCATCCAGAATAGCCGCTTGGTTTGTCTTTGATGAGCCCATTGGAGGCTTTGGGTTCAAAATGGGGCTGAGACTTCAATCCATTATCATTAGTAGTCATTCTTAAATCATACACTTTCTACACATTCCCATGCCTAGGCCCAATTCATGAGCCAAATTTGATGTTTTATACTTTAAAATGATAAACTAATTTACAACAATTTTATTTGAAAAATGAAAATTAGATTAGTAATGGACTATAAGTCATTATAATTAAATCAATAAATAAGGTCAGTAAATTAGGTTATTTCAAGGATCAAAATTTTATTTTAGAATGATCCAAAATTTTTTGTTTTCAAGTAAAATCATAATAAAAATTCCAATAGTTCGAGGTGTCGGAATATTTTGATGAGTTTGAAGAAATTTTGTATATTTTCACTAATATTGAGATTGTTTCATTATATTTCGAGATTCTTCGGTTCAATTTTNATTTTGATGAGTTTGAAGAAATTTTGTATATTTTCACTAATATTGAGATTGTTTCATTATATTTCGAGATTCTTCGGTTCAATTTTTTTATTTGTTTATATTTTATTTTGGAAATTTTTTTTTATAATTTTTTTTTATTTTTTAGGAGACAAAAATAATACATCAAAATGAAATTTTAATCATCGGATAATATCTTGAATTAATATCAAGTAATTATTGTTCTAGCTTTTTTTTCCACTTCATTTCTTTTTACTGTAAATTTTAGGTTAATTGCACTAGAGGTCCCTCAAGTATAGAGTGTATTTCATTTTAATCCCTAATATTTTAATTATATCATTTTGGTTTCTAAAGTATCGAATATGTTTCTATATGATTCCTCAAGTAAACAACATCTAAATTAATAGCAGTTTTTTGATGATAAACTTATCACGCGATACTTAAATATGGATAAAAAATAATTTGGGTGACTTTTGACCAAAATTTGAGTAACTTTTGACAAAAAAATATGTAATATATGAGTATCTCNTAAATATGGATAAAAAATAATTTGGGTGACTTTTGACCAAAATTTGAGTAACTTTTGACAAAAAAATATGTAATATATGAGTATCTCTTAATCAAAATTTGGATTGAACAGCTCTTTGACCAAAATTTAGATATAAATTTAATTTAAAGTTATTCAAATTATTTTTTTGTTCATAGTTAGATTTTAGTAACAAGTTTNACAGCTCTTTGACCAAAATTTAGATATAAATTTAATTTAAAGTTATTCAAATTATTTTTTTGTTCATAGTTAGATTTTAGTAACAAGTTTATAATAAAAAATCGTTAATAATCTGAACGTTGTTTATTTGAAAGATTATATAAAAATATATTTAATATTTTAAAGACTAAAATAAAACAATTGAAATATTAGAGACTAAAATACAATAAATCATATATTTTAGGTACAGTAAAATTAATCCATGAATTTTAATGATTTTTAATTAATGTTATTTTCTTCTACATTGATGTGGAATTCGGAATATGGACCTCAAGAGTACGTATACAGTATACCAAAAAAAACTCTTCACTTTCTTAGGCCAATTCCAAACACATGCATTCAATTTTCTTGTGTTTGATTTTAAGAGAGAGAGAGAGAGAGAGAAAGAGAGAATTCGTGCGTGTGTGTCAGCTCTCGTGACGGTTAGAATCACCGCCGTAGCTCATCGCCGCCACGGAATCAACACCATTGTCAGCGATGGATCATTCGAAAGCATAAGCCACGTCAGTCTCTCTCTCTCTCTCTATGTTTTTCTCTTTCTTTCTGGGTGTGCGGTTGAGGTAAGAGAATACTCTAACTGCCGACTTTTTTTTCATTTCATCGCTGATATTTTGGGGGCATGATAGAATATGCATGATGTGTTGGCCAGCCGAGTCAACGCGATTGAATCACTTGCTGTTACCGAGTCGACGCGGCCTATTGTTTCTTTAGGTTATCTTCACTGGAAACATAATTCCCTATCTAAATTTAAGTAAAAAAATAAAAATAAAAAATTTGATTTGATATATATCTTTTTTTTATTGGTGAAATTTAAATTTAAATAAAAATAAATTCAAATTTAATAGATGATAAATAATATCTATTTAATTTTTTTAAAAAAATGAAATCTCATCATTAAATATTTTAGTATAAATTTGAGTGTCTCTCTATTTTAGTTTAAAAGAATAGTTTCTTCGTTATTTAACATGGGCATGGTCTATGGGCCTCGGAGAAGTTTGATAATTTTTACTCAAATTTAAATTTAGATATAAAAAAGTGTAAAACCTAGATATGCTCATGGAAAAGAAACGTTTTTGTGTAATGTGATGCTTTGGCCTTTTCAGGGTGGCGAGTTATCTGTGTGAGCTTTGTTTTCGTTGATATAATTTTACTGGGTTGACTCGGTTTGACGACTGTGAAAGTACCCCATGAAGATTCTATTTTAACTTCACTGTGGTGGATCTGACTCATAAGCATTTGAAAATTTTCTGTTACATTTCTCCTGGGCGAGTTACTATCATAGTAATGCTGCCACCAGGTGCTTAAGCGCTCAGCGGAGTTGACTCGATGGTGAGTTGCAACCATTTTTTATATGAGCAAAGTTCGACATTTATGGTGTTTTTGGTGGGGTGCTTTACCAAATTCCTAATTCATCTTGTTGGAACTCCCCTCTCACGTCTAAACTCTGGTGTAAAGTGTTTAGTCTATCTTAAGATAGATATTCTATTTTCTCTCCTTCCTCCTAGTTGAAGGTAATAAGTAAAAATAGAATAATAAAAAATTGAAATAATAAAGTTCTGTCTTTGAATAGAAGAATGTTTCTTCTTTCATTTATGTTTAGTAAGAGATATNCAAGATAGATATTCTATTTTCTCTCCTTCCTCCTAGTTGAAGGTAATAAGTCAGGAATGTAAAAATAGAATGATAAAAAATTGAAATGATAAACGTTCTGTCTTTGAATAGAAGAATGTTTCTTCTTTCATTTATGTTTAGTAAGAGATATAGAAAATATAAAAAAGTTTATTTTTTTGTATCTGGTGTGATGGAAAAAATACAAATGTATATTTTGCTATTATATTTATATATGAAATTAATATGTAAATAATAGGTAATAGGTAATAGATAAATATGATATATGTATATATTAAAGTATTTAAAAGTAAATAATATACATTTTCAATATACGTAATTAATTTTTCATCAACTTTTTCCCCTAATTTTAGAGTAATAGATTTTATTGAGTTTGAGTACAATTTGCAGTCTGATTATTCCCTTATCTTAATTTGGATTGACNTTGGTGTGATGGAAAAAATGCAAATGTATATTTTGCAATTATATTTATATATGAAATTAATATGTAAATAATAGGTAATAGGTAATAGATAAATATGATACATGTATATATTAAAGGATATAAAAGTAAATAATATAATTGAGTTTGAGTACAATTTGCAGTCTGATTATTCCCTTATCTTAATTTGGATTGACTGACAGTTTGTTGATTGTTCATTTCATTGATTCATCATTGTTGCTAATATTATACACAACATACTCTCATCTTATGGATTCCCGTCATCTGTGGGAAATATTTTTCAATACTCCCCTGCATGTCATGTTTTCATTTTGAAAAATTGAATCACTAACCCTGGCTGATGAAAAGGAAAAAAAAGATTATAACAAAAGCATATTGTTCTAATCTTTCTTCTTTCCCCTTTCCTGTGTGACGATAGTTCATGATAGTTGCTGATACCTTTTTGTCTTTCAGAGTGAAGTTGGAAACAATTCACTTCAAATGGCTTCCATGAAACAGAAAAAAGCTGATGAGAATGTCTTACGGCTAGTTGAAGAGCAAAAGGTGACCATTTAGTATCAAGTTTTGATAACATACTGTAGGATAGGCATAATGGCTGTTTCATAATTTTCCAAACTGTGTAGCTTTCGTTGACTATCCTTTCGACAGCACAGAGGGAGAAGGAGGAAGATTTGAAAAAGATACTGGAGTTAGAAAGGCAGTTAGATGCTAAACAGAAATTGGAGATGGAACTTAAAGGAAAACTAGAGCTGATGAAGCATCTGGGAATTGATGTTGCTGTGGTTCAGCAAAAGTTTAAAGAGATGAATGAAGAATTAAAAGAGAGAATTGAGGAAAATTGTTATTTGGAAACTTTGAATCAAACTCTTATTGTCAAAGAGCGCCAAAGTGATACTAAGCTACAAGACGCTCGTAAAGAATTGATTGCGGTATGCTGTTTTCCTGTCATTTCATTCTTGTGGACATATGGTTTAAGTGTAACGCTGAATTAATGGTCGGAGTATTTAGATGAGCCATGAATTGTAATACATGGCCTTTAGTTGAAGACACGGTGAACCGTAAGTATCAAAAATGGTTTCATTTGGAACACAACCCAGTGGCTCCTCCCAACGGGATGAAAACAAAATAGGAAAAGACTCGGAATAGAAAACTGAAATGGTTGTCTACAATCAAACAAAAGGACAACTAATTCATATATACCAGGATACTTGGGCTGATGCTATGAAAGCATATTGTCTCAGCAATAGAACCTTATCTAGGCAGTTATGAAACATATGAAACCATAATTACTCATGGGGACTGAAATATTGAAAATGCTTTCAATATTTTCAGGGCTTGAGTGAGATGCTGAAGAGTGATCCAACTAATATTGGGATAAAAAGAATGGGAGAAATTGATCTGAAGGCCTTTCACCATGCGTGCAAATTGTGGTTCACTCTTGAAGAAGCTCAAATCAAGGCCTTAGAATTGTGTTCCTTATGGCAGGAGAGACTGAAAAATCCTGACTGGCATCCTTTTAAAGTTATCATTTCTGGTGAAAATTATTGGGTATGTTTTCTGAATATCATTCTAATTGATTTTCGCATGCATGTGGTAATACTGTGCTGTAGTGCATGTTCACAAGACTGCCCACATAGATGTCATGTAATTTTTCAGGACCTGTATCCTTGATAAGAATACAAACTTACCAGTGATTCCACGATACTTTCCATTGTGGGCTTCATTTTCTAGAGGAACACTGTGATATGATGTTAAAGCGTCTCTCATTTTACCATGTTAAACTTTTATGGCGAGAAACCTGACTGTTTTTAACTGAACTTTTAGATGAAAGAAACCTTTGCATCATTCCTGCATGTTTGAATAATGATGGAACTGCCAGGATATTCAACATTGTGAATCATTATGAATGATGCAGGAAATTCTGAATGAGGATGATGAAATGCTACGAAATCTCAAGGAGGAATGGGGTGGTGAAATATACGATGCAGTTACCATAGCTTTGAAAGAGATGAACGAATACAACCCAAGTGGCAGGTATGTGGTTTCTGAGCTGTGGAATTTTAAAGAGCAAAGGAAAGCCACCTTAAAGGAAGTTATTGCTTATATTTTGAAGTATTTGAAGACACTTAAGCGCAAGAGATCAGGTTTTCCCTAGGAAAACTTGTTTAGAAGTTGGAGTTGTCTGTCACTGAGGCTATGCCCTGTTTGAGACTAAGGCAGGCTCCATTTGACCGCATTTTATCATGCTTTCCTTGCGCACATTCCAGTATGATTACTTTTTTGTGAAACTACAGCCGCAGCTTTCTCTTGTCCTAATTTTCAACTTTAGTCTATCTGGACCATAGTTTCGAGCTTATCATTGTTTATAACACGCTTTTCATATCAAAATTAGTTTGTTAACATACTTCGAATAGAAACCTTGAAAGTGTGTTTTGCAAATGCCTTTGTACAATGAAAAGCAGTAGGTTTCAATCACGCTTTCATGTAAACAATGTCAATTTAAAAATCACATGTGAAATAAATTTTAAAGAGTTAGTTTAGTTGAAAATTGTAAGTGCTCATATGAGGAGCGTTAGGGAAAAGAAGAAGACGAGTGTAAGATGGAAATGTTATGGTGTGGGATGATGGGCATAAAGACGAGTCAGGGAGGGTTTTGTTAACCGGTCGACATCTTCCTTCGCCGTCCATATCTACGTTGAGACTTGCATCAGCTCCAGCAGAGCAGAACACCATTTTGGTTAAACTGTGGTGTTAGCTGTATTATGTGGTGTTTTCTGTCTCTCAGCGTGTATGTGAGAGAGAGATTTGAAACAAGTAGAAGCCAGAATTAAGCATGTTTTGGTCAATGTTAAAGTCAATACTAAGAAATTTTAACTGAAATTAGATGATACGTTTTGAGTTCGAGCCACCACCACTAAAACCCATGGTGGATAATATCATTAAAAAGCTTATGTGTGCAGTGGTGGAGAGGGAGGGAGGGGGAGAGGGAGAGGAAAAGACACCAAAGAAAAAGTGATTGCTGATCAAGGAATAGTACCACTTAATTTGGAACATATGCTCTGTCATTATTTCCACAGGCTGCTACTTGTCTATTTCAGCNGGAGGGAGGGGGAGAGGGAGAGGAAAAGACACCAAAGAAAAAGTGATTGCTGATCAAGGAATAGTACCACTAAATTTGGAACATATGCTCTGTCATTATTTCCACAGGCTGCTACTTGTCTATTTCAGCATCTTAATTTGGTCGGCAAGGAAAAATTTTCTTTCATGATCTTTTCACTCTTGTCTTCAACTAAGTGTAGGCTTAGGCTATGTGTAGGTCTGCCTGCATACATTCATTAACATCACGTGTAAGGAGTTGGCTTTGATTACAAAAAAATAAAAATTGGTACGATATCAAAAAAGTGAAAAGGCTATATGGTAGTCACTTGTACGCTCCAATATTTATAAAAATTTATAATCAGTTTCATCGGTATATATTTTAAAAATAAGTGAAATCGCTATACACTTTAAAAATAAGTGATAATATAAATTAAAATTAATTTTAAAAAATAATAATTATTTATTATATTTAAACATGAAATAAAAATATAATAAAAAATTTACAATATTGAGTGAAATTAAATTTGCATTTTATATTAAGTTAAAAATATTAGGAGTTTAGATTAGGTTATCTAAGTTCACCACTATTTTAAGTGATAATAGAAATTAAAATTAGTTTTAAAAAATAATAATTATTTATCATATTTAAACCTAAAATAAAAATATAAGAAAAAATTTACAATATTTAGAGCTATTAAGTGACATTAAATTTACGATTAAATTAAAAATATTAGAAGTTAGTATTAAGTTATCAAAGTAAGTTCACCACCGGGACAAATTACAACTAAAGTTTAGCACATTTTTTTTTGCTATTGCTAAAATGTTACAGTAAGGTTATATTGCCACATTTTTTGGGTAAAATTGTCATTTTTGGGTTATATTTTGGGTGAAGTTAAAATTATTACAACAATGTTTTTCACCACTAAATAAATTACAACATAGTTATCATATTTGGGTACACATTTTGTGTTAAATTAAAATAGGTAAAAAAAAATTGGGGTAGTATGAAACTAATTACATAGTTGAAGGTGTAATATTAAAAATATGAGGAAAAATTTGAAAAACGGTGATAATTTAGCGGTATAAGTGAAATTTAATGTTAACCAAAACGCAACTTGATCGCTGGTTAGCGATTGAGATTAGTTTGCAACTTGATTGATACTTGAAACCCCAATCGCTACATAAGTGATCAACTTAGATCGCTACTTGGAACGCCGATCGCTCATATAGTGATCAACTTAGATCGCTAATCTAACCCCCGATCAATCCAGGTTAGATCGTATTCCCTAAAAAATCCAACTCTTCAACCTAAGCTATCTAACCTAATTGCATACCCTAAATCAACGATCTAACCCCAAATCGGTGAAAACCCAACCTGATTACATACCCAAAACCCTAAATCACAATCATCGCCACAGTCTCGAACCCCAAATTAGCAATCAAATTGAATCGAACCCAATCGCCACTACCACCAAAGTCACTGCCACCGGAGCCACTGCCACAGCCTAGAGCAACCACCGCCACCGCTTTCCTTTTCTCCGAGGTATCCATTCTCTCTCTCTCTCTCTCAATTTCATCATATTTCTATATACATAGTTCTCTCTCTCTCTCTCAATTTCATAATATTTTTGTAAGGGACGTGTTTTTGGGGTTGAACGAATGATAAGGGATATGTTTTTGGGGTTGAACGAATGATGGTTTTTGTGAATGATGGTTCAAAAGTAATGCAATCCTATCTTCCTCACATCTCCATCAACTGTTATTGCTCAAAAGTAATAGATAATCTTCCATGTTAATGCTCTATTTGTTGACTAGATTTTTTTCTTGTTACAGCAGAGTATAATGACCGAAGGCAAAAAGAAGTATAGGCCAAAAGTTGTGGATAACAGTAGGGAAAAAATGAAGAGGAAGAAGAGTTGTAATGATCCTCCCTCCATTGGTCCCTCCTCGAAGAAGAATAAATGTAATCATCCTCCCTCCATCGATCTGTCCTCCAGAGTTGATCCCTCCTCCACCAATCTAGTTGATCCCACCTCCACCAATCCAATTGATCCCACCATTGATACCTCCTTTAATACATCAAGTTCACCCAACCCCATATGCAATGAAGACATATCTTTCTTTAACAAAAATTGCAAACATTGGTATGATAATTGCTTTTATTGTAGGTCTTTGTTATTGGAGATGAGTATTTTACTGAATCAATTAAAAGATGTAGGATGTGATGTTATTTTTGCTCTTCATTAATGGAATTCTGCAGTTGATATCAAGAAGATGGATAAAGCATCTAATACATTGGTGAATATATTTTATTCTAACATGCATGATATTAATATAGGTGATCGCAATTTTAAGTCCCTTGTGAGGAATGTAAGATTTGAAGTAACCCCAGATTTAGNTTTTTGCTCTTCATTAATGGAATTCTGCAGTTGATATCAAGAAGATGGATAAAGCATATAATACATTGGTGAATATATTTTATTCTAACATGCATGATATTAATAAAGGTGATCGCAATTTTAAGTCCCTTGTGAGGAATGTAAGATTTGAAGTAACCCCAGATTTAGTTTCAAAAATACTGGGAGTTCACAAACCTTTCGTTCCTAACGATATACTTACCTATCCATTCAAAAATTCTAAGGACATACCTAAATTGGAAGATGTTTATGCAGAAATTGAGTGTATACCTAATAATTTTAGTGAGAGTGTTGACAATCCAGTATTTTTTTTAACAAGACNCGACCTTTCGTTCCTAACGATATACTTACCTATCCATTCAAAAATTCTAAGGACATACCTAAATTGGAAGATGCTTATGCAGAAATTGAGGGTATACCTAATAATTTTAGTGAGAGTGTTGACAATCCAGTATTTTTTTTAACAAGACCTTACTCCCAAATATTGGATGTTAAACCTTATAGTAGGGTACAATATTAGTCCAAGAGGACATGCTGCTGATTTTGGACTTGATCGAGCTCATCTCATGTATGCCATTGAAAAGGGTATATATTCAGATCTACCTTGTTTAATCGTTGATGAAATTATTTCGGTACAAGGTACGAAAGATAAGGAGCAATGTCTCCCATTCCCAATTTTGACTTCAAAGATTTTGGAGGATTGTGGAGTTGTGATTCACTCAAGTGATGCTTATTCCATTCACATGAATCCAATTTATGGTGGGACAATAAAAAAGAGTTTGGGGCAAGGGAAGAAGAAGAAAACTCAGTAGCCACAGTAGCCACAAGTTGAAATCGAGAATGAAGTTGAAGCTGGGGATGAAGATGAAGCCCAGGATGTCCCAAATTCTTCAACAGGTGGTCTTCCTACATTTAATGATCTTCTTCCATTGACTATATTTGAACATTTGCTGGTACGAATGGGCAGAAAGATGGAGGAAATTGAAAATACTCAAAATAAAATTAAGGAGTCTCTGAAGGTGATCGATAGTAGGTTGGATATAAATGATAGTATGTGGGATAGAATTGAGCCTTTTTGTATGAAAAGCAAAGAAATAGCTAGGAAGTGATATATGTAATTGTAGTTATTGGTTGTTGATACAATAANCAGAAAGATGGAGGAAATTGAAAATACTCAAAATAAAATTAAGGAGTCTCTGAAGGTGATCGATAATAGGTTGGATATAAATGATAGTATGTGGGATAGAATTGAGCCTTTTTGTATGAAAAGCAAAGAAATAGCTAGGAAGTGATATATGTAATTGTAGTTATTGGTTGTTGATACAATAATTGAACTAGCAGTAGTGAAATGTGATGAAACAAATTAATGCAATATGATATCTTTTTGTCAAAAATCTAAAATATCTTTTTTCTTTGTACATAAAATGAGCATGGTAATGGTTGTGATGAGCAAATGGTTGTGATAAGCATGGTTGTNGTAGTGAAATGTGATGAAACAAATTAATGCAATATGATATCTTTTTGTCAAAAATCTAAAATATCTTTGTTCTTTGTAAATAAAATGAGCATGGTAATGGTTGTGATGAGCAAATGGTTGTGATAAGCATGGTTGTGTAATTTAGTAGTAAGATTACAAATTCTTATCGTAATTTTACTTCTAAAAATACACAAAAAAAGTTGTATTCTTACACCCAAAAAAGTTGTATTTTAAGTCCAAGCAATTTGTATTATAACCCAAAAAAATGATAATGTTAACAAAAAAAGTGGTAATCTTCCCTAAAAAATGGTAATATTACTCTAAAAAGTGATAATCTTGCCTCAAATAAATGGTTACCTTATTCAAAAAAGTGGTATTCTTACAAAATAAAGATGATAATATTACACCCCAAAAGTTGTACTCCTACACCTAAAAAAGTTGTATTCTAAGCCAAAGCAAATTGTATTATAACTCAAAAAATGGTAATTTTCCCTAAAAAAAGTATAATCTTGCCTCAAATAATGGGTAATCTTACCAAAAAAGTGGTATTATTACAAAATTAAAGTGATAATGTTTCACCTAAAATGTTGTATTCTTATACCCAAAAAAGTTGTATTCTAACCAAAAAAATAATAATGTCAACCAAAAAAGTGGTAATCTTTCCCTCAAAAGTAGTAATCATTCCCTCAAAATGGTAATCTTCCCTAAAAAAGTATAATCTTGCCTTAAATAATAGGTAATCTTACCAAAAAAGTTCTATTATTACCAAATAAAAGTGATAATATTTCACCCAAAAAGTTGTATTCTTACAACCAAAAAAGTTGTATTCTAACTAAAAAAAATGGTAATGTCAACCAAAAAAGTGGTAATCTTTCCCTCAAAAGTGGTAATCATTGCCTCAAAGTGCTAATCTTCCCTAAAAAAGTATAATCTTGCCTCAAATAATGGGTAATCTTACCAAAAAAGTGGTATTATTACAAAATTAAAGTGATAATGTTTCACCTAAAATGTTGTATTCTTATACCCAAAAAAGTTGTATTCTAACCAAAAAAATAATAATGTCAACCAAAAAAGTGGTAATCTTTCCCTCAAAAGTAGTAATCATTCCCTCAAAATGGTAATCTTCCCTAAAAAAGTATAATCTTGCCTTAAATAATGGGTAATCTTACCAAAAAAGTTCTATTATTACCAAATAAAAGTGATAATGTTTCACCCAAAAAGTTGTATTCTTACAACCAAAAAAGTTGTATTCTAACTAAAAAAAAATGGTAATGTCAACCAAAAAAGTGGTAATCTTTCCCTCAAAAGTGGTAATCATTGCCTCAAAGTGCTAATCTTCCCTAAAAAAGTATAATCTTGCCTCAAATAATGGGTAATCTTATCAAAAAAGTGGTATTCTTACCAAATAAAAGTGATAATGTTTCATCCAAAAACTTGTATTCTTACACCCAAAAAAGTTGTATTCTACGCCCAAGGAAGTTGTATTCTAACCCAAAAAGATGATAATATTAACAAAAAAAAGTGCTAGTTTTCCCTAAAAAATGGTAATTTTACCTCAAATAATTGGTAATCTTATCAAAAAAATGGTATTCTTACCAAAGAAAAGTCATAATGTTACACCCAAAAAGTTGTATTATTACACCCANGTAATATTAACAAAAAAAGTGCTAGTTTTCCCTAAAAAATGGTAATTTTACCTCAAATAATTGGTAATCTTATCAAAAAAGTGGTATTCTTACCAAAGAAAAGTCATAATGTTACACCCAAAAAGTTGTATTATTACACCCAAAAAAGTTGTAATCTAAGCCCAATGAAGTTGTGTTCTAAACCAAAAAAAAATGGTAATGTTAACCAAAAAGTTGTAATGTCTTATCTACTAATGTCTGCCTATCTGATAAACTAGATAAATTGGTCTGGAAGCCTTCTTAGCTGGGGAATTTTTCTATTAAAACAACCTGGGGTCTGATTAGAAGTCAAGGGCAGCCTAATGACCTAGCTACTTTAATCTGGAAGCAGCCATCTCCTCCTAGTGCCCAACTTTTGGGATGGAAAATCTTCAAAGACTCTCTGCCTNTGGTAATGTTAACCAAAAAGTTGTAATGTCTTATCTACTAATGTCTGCCTATCTGATAAACCAGATAAATTGGTCTGGAAGCCTTCTTAGCTGGGGAATTTTTCTATTAAAACAACCTGGGGTCTGATCAGAAGTCAAGGGCAGCCTAATGACCTAGCTACTTTAATCTGGAAGCAACCATCTCCTCCTAGTGCCCAACTTTTGGGATGGAAAATCTTCAAAGACTCTCTGCCTATGAACTCAGCTCTTCAGAATGTGGGTGTCTCCTTAGCAAGTAGATGTGCTCTATGTAATTGTGAAGCAGAATCCCCTCCTCATCTTTTTATTTATGATTTACACATGAATCATACAGATATGCAGACTAGGGTTTTGCAACTGGAATTCTTAATGACAGACAAGTGATATGCTCTAGTATGCTACATGAAGAAGTGCTCATACACTCAAATTTCCAAGTAGTCAGAACAGTCCATAATTTATACAGTCCAGTGTTTATTACATATTTTGTCTTATTCTAATAAATTTTCAAAAAGCAAAGGAAGGCGAGTAGAAAGGAATATAGCATGCACCTACTTATCTTCCTCTCTCAGTCAACTTCAGAGTCAAGGTGTCTGGTATTCTCGAAGCAACTTCTTAACATTACTAGGGATTTGGATCCAGATCTCTGTTTGGCCTTTTTTTGCATTTTCTAGTTCCTCCTATCTGCATCACTTCTTGGTAGTTGATATTCAGATTCTAGAAAGCTCTTCTTGGATCTCTCTACATCTGTCTGTCGGGATTATTCTCTACTTCCAGCTGATTTCTGTACTGATCTTCTCCATGCAATTGTTGGCTATCCATCTTCTACTAGTTTTGAAGCAAAAAGGATTTCCTTATCAATTTTTCTCACTTTCTATCTCTCGTGGACTATTATGGCTTTGTTCAGTGGTTTCGCTCTCCAAATCGTTTGGTATTCTGTGGATTTTTTGTCTCTTCAAATGCTCTTCTTGCTGGATATTCGTCTTCTACTTTCCATGGGGACCTTTCACTGGGTATTCATCTTCTGTAGTGCTTTCATGAAGAGGGGCTTTAACCAGGAAATTCTGTTGGCTTCACCTTTGCATCATCTATCCCAGAGGACACCCATCGAAAATCTATACAGTCTTCAATTTCTACTGGACATGCATGCAAAAGCATTCATCATTTTTCTCACCTTTCTCATCTAAATTTTCTTTCTCTTTACTAGATTCTCGTGGGAGGATTTTTCGTTTTTCAGAGAACTTTTCTATTTTTCATCTAAAGCTATTCATCTACCTAACAATGGGATTGTCAAGATTCCCTTTCAGTTCTCCTCTTAGAAGACTCTTTATCAGGCTTTCAGTCTCCTTATCAGCCTCATTACCTTCCCATATCTGATTTATCTTTTCATTTGCTTTATCTGTCCATTAATGCTCTTTCAACTAGAATGCTCGCATCTCATAACTCTCAGCCTTCCCTGCTCGAAGCTCATGCTAATAGCTTGAAAATGCTTTCAACTATTTTTCCCAACTACCAAGTTTTCAGCTATCTCTTTCAGCTCACGGCTCATGCTTACAGCTCATCCTTTCAGCCTGTAAATGTTCTCAACTCCAGTTATCAGCTCAACAACTCCTCAACTAACTCTTGCAGCTGTTGTCATAACTACAACTATTGTCTTCATGAGTTGCATCTTTCAGCTGCAAATCCTTAGCTTGTTTTCAATTCAAAGCAGCTACTGTTCTATTGCCACAACTCATTTAATTATTATGCGGCTGGAATCCTATTCACATTACTATTCACGTGACTATTCAGCATTCCAGCACATTTTAGTAGTTGGTTCATCAGTTAGTAAATTATTTTTTGTTTTTCCATGTAAAATCATGCATTAGAATTTTTAATTCCTTATCATATTGTAATTAGATTNAACAACTCCTCAACTAACTCTTGCAGCTGTTGTCATAACTACAACTATTGTCTTCATGAGTTGCATCTTTCAGCTGCAAATCCTTAGCTTGTTTTCAATTCAAAGCAGCTACTGTTCTATTGCCACAACTCATTTAATTATTATGCGGCTGGAATCCTATTCACATTACTATTCACGTGACTGTTCAGCATTCCAGCACATTTTAGTAGTTGGTTCATCAGTTAGTAAATTATTTTTTGTTTTTCCATGTAAAATCATGCATTAGAATTTTTAATTCCTTATCATATTGTAATTAGATTGCATTGAGGGTAATGTAAATACATCCCCCCTAACTAGGTGTAAT